TCATATAAAACACATTTTCTCTGCTTAAAAAAACTGTTGAGGAGTTTTCCAATTTAGTAATTATTAGTTGTGCATTCTTTATTTAATTATAGTAGTGTATATGAGGGAGAAGCAAATAGATGGGTATAGGAGAGGGGATTAGGATGAGAGAACGCTATTGTATAAACTAGACTAGTTGGGCCAAATGACCTGTTTCTGTGCTGTAAGATTCTGCGTAATTCTATTGCTCCTTTCTTTAAATCCTACTTTAAGACCCACCTTTTCAATCGCACCAATGGTCACCTGCCCATTCTCCTTTGCGTCCAACCCCACCACTGCCAACACTCTGAGACACTATCTTGGATGTAAATGTGATGTTGTTCAGTGCTGTCATTTTCTAGGACTGGATTGATTAAAAGAAATAATGAATGTAAGGAGGTTTTCAAAAGCAATGCACAACCTCAGATTTGGTGAAAAGATTTGACATCTATTTTGAAGCCTGCTTTTAGGAACCATTGTACTCTAAAGATTGTTCATCTCATCCATCCAATTTAATCCCCATCGCCTTGTCACTGTCCTGAAAAGATACTTATTAAAGATTTAACTAAGGCAGCGTGCATAGCTTTTGCTGTGAGTCAAATATTCCCTATTTTGTAGGATCATATCTTCAATCTCTGTCCCTGCTTCAGGCTACTTGAATTGCATGCTCATATCCTGTAGTTTTGTATTCATAATCCAAGCTAAATGAATTGTGGTGACTGTGATTCAAATAGGAATTTCCCTTATTTCAAATGGGACCAAATCCAGCCCTAGGCATCAATCACCATTTGTTATTTTAGCCAGGTGGCCATTATATGCTATTTACTTCACATTGAGTGTCAGAATGTGTCCATACAAACAGCAACAACAACAACATTGCATATATATAGAGCCTTTCATTAAATTTGAGCCGAATATTATTGTCACCTGCTCCTGTCCCCTTCTCCTCCTCTTTTTCCACTCCCACATGATGTGTGCCCAAGCTGCTGACAGAAAGATGATAGTTAGTAGTCGATCCAATCGGGAGTCAAGGAGAAACTTCTTCACACTGAAGGTGATGAGAATGTGGAACTCACTGCTAGAACTGTGGTTGAAGCAAATAGCATGAGCCAGGCGGGTCCACAGTATTGCATGGCAATGCTGACGACAGCACATCCCGCCTGGCTCATTGGCAGGAAAGGCAGACCAGTTTGGAACTCTCTTCGTCAATCCCTCAGCCTTGCCCCATTCGTCCTCATTTTCAGATCATACCTGATGCCCTTCCTTTTCTATTCTGATTCTTTGCAGCTCCTAAAGCTGTAGTATCATATACAGTTGTCAAATACATTCTTCTCTAATTTCCAAAGCAGCATTTGGGTCATTTGGCCCATTTTTTCATGTTGGTATTTGTTCCTCCAAGAAGTCATCCATCTCAGAACCATAAAAATGGACAGCATAGAAGAAGGTCATCCAACCCATCATGCCTGTTTTAGTTCTTTGAATGAACAATCTATTCAGTTCCATTTACCTGCCCTTTTCCCCATACCCAGTAAATTATTCCTTTTTAAATTTTGATCTTGTTTCCCCTTGAAAGCTAATATGGATCCTACTTTGACTGCCGTAACTAACAGGGCATTTCACGTCTTAAACAACTTGCTGTTAAAAAAAAATCCCCATCATCTCCCCTTTTTGTTCTTTTCCTCACTGACAAAAATTGATGCCCTCCAATCAACGTCTCATCAACCAGTGAAAATAATTTCTCCCTATCATCTCTATTTAATCCCAATTCCCAGATCTTATCCCATACCCTCTAACACTCTTTCTCTGCATGTGAAGGAATATTAAGGTTTCACCCTGCCCGGTAATCAAACCTGGGTCCTCTCACTTGCGAGGCGAATGCTCTAACCAACACGCTACAGGACTCCACATACACTACAGGATTCAACCTTGAGAAATTTGGAGCCTTAGGTATAGAAAGTGGTAAATCCGCCTGGTACAGTAGGGTAACAACAATAATAATAATAATCCTTGCACTTTGATGTAGCACCTTATCGCGTCTTCGAGACATCTCAAAGCACTTCACAGAATATACTGTAAATTTAATTGACTGCATATTTTTTAGGCAAAATTTCTCTAATTGGAATAAAGGGGAATTAAAAGTGATGGGTGCAGTATGGGTTCCTATACCTGAAGTGTAGGGGTCCTATTACCTGAAGACTTTCCTCTTCCTCCCCCCAACTCGGAATCGTCCTCTGTCACTAACAAGCGCTGAGAGACTCTACTCTGCCTGAGGGGCACTATATAACTGCAAGTTGTTGTTGTTTTTGTTATAAAAATGCTGGGGTCCATAACCTATCTACTTCATCTGCTAGAATGGGTTATGCACAACCTCATGTGCTATTGAATATCATCTGTGTCATCAAAAACTGAACATCCTTACCACACACTACGCTCATTTGAATAAGTGGGTTATTTTACTACAACAAATAATTTGAGGAAACTAATTTTGTGACAACTGTAAAGCAGCCTCTAAGACAAACTAAATATTTTCAGACAGTAGCCAATTAATTCTATTGATAAATTTGGAATCTTATTTCAACTGTTACCGTGAGTTTGGAAACTGGATCACCAAACTTGAGACACTTGATATATTTTAGTAACGCTACCTCCAGAGTATTCTCCATCTTCTGATACAGACAGCACATAGGATAAGTCCTACTGGAATGCCTATGTAACCAACTACAATAGCTGTTGAAGCTTAGTCTTCGAGCCATCTGATAAACTGGATCTTTAGATTCACTTCAGTTTTGATCTATTATGTCACCTCAGGGATAGTGGTGTCAATCACTGGCCATTTTTCATTCACAAATGTCAGGAAACATAATTATTTCCAATTGCAATTGAGTAGCCCCTTGGGGCTTCTCAAGAGTGGTTACTCAACCCAAGGCACAATCCAACACTGTCACTAACATAAAACTGTGTGACTCCAAACCCCAAGGACAATATATGAAGCTCAAACAAAACATATTATCTACACATCTGAAAGTAAACATTGATATATTTGGGTTTATTCCCCTCTGAATGATCTTTGGAAAAATAGATAATCCTAATGAGTAACCTCTAATCATTTTAGAAGTCATTATCTGTTGGGCAGATATGATGCAACATGAATTCACAACTTTTGCCAGTCATGGCTTGAATTTGGTTCTTTCTCTAAATAATAATGAGTCCTGTAGTGTATTGGTTAGTGAACTCGCCTCGCTAGCAAATGTTCGGCAAGTTTCCTTACTCCACGTGCCTCTGTTAACCTAGCAGTAAGTAGGAACCCAGTTGTTAGTCAATTGGTGGATCGCTTTCTGGGAGTAATAATCCCTTAAAAAAAATTGTAAAAATAATAATTTGATCACTCAATCCACAACTGTTTGTGGGACACTGCTGTGCACAATTCGCTGCTGCGTTTCACCCACAAAATATACAGTCCATTCACTTTATAGTATATTCCGTGAAGTGCTTTGAGACGTCTCAACGATGTGATAAGGCGCTATGTCAAATGCAAGGATTATTATACATAATACCCCCAGACAGGTTTTGCTAGTTTAAATACTAAATTTGCAACCAACAAAAGAAACGAAGAGTATCGAACTGCTGAACTTTACTTCCATTTGATTTTTTAAAGTATAAAACAATCATACACTGCGATATTAGGAACAAGATACTGTAGTTGTCAAATGTACATTCTCAATTGTATCCTTTAGATATTATTTAAATTGTACCACTCAGTTAGTAGCATTCTTGCCTCTGAGTTAGAAGGTTGTAGAATCAAGCCCCACATCAGAACTTTAAACTCATAGTCTACTCTAACACTTTAATGCAGTGCTGATGGTATGCTGCAAGGTTGGAGGTTCCTTTCATTGGATGATATGTTAACCTGATGTCCCCAACATCAAAGATCCCATGGCACGTCTCGAAAATAAGGAGTTACTCCTGGTGTCCTTGACAACAATTCCCCAGATAAAATGGATCATTCACCTCAAGGCTGTTTGTGGGTCATTACTAAGTGCATATTGGCTGATGTATTTACCTTCAAATTGCACATTCACTACACTTTATAATAATATTTTGTGAAGGGCTTTGAGATGTCCTCCTGACTGAAAGATGCTTTATTACATGCAAAGATAATTATTATTATTTTAAAGTTTAGGTAATTGATGGGGTTTGGCTGTGGTTTTAATCCATTCCCTGTCGAATGACAGTGACTGATATCAATGACTGTCTAGACTCTCAGATGAAGAATGACCACTTTAGTGAGGCACTGGGGACTGCTAACTAGTGAAACCCTGAACAAGTATGAATCACCACCTGAAGGAGAGAAAAGGAGAATAGGGGATGAAAATGGGGAAAATAATTCAATTACCACACTGACTCTTATAATATTAATGGTGTCTCTAAGCCTGTCTATTTCCCACAGAGAGAGAGGAAGGAAGGAAAAAGTAATCCCAGCAAGGGGATTCAAACACCTGCCACAGACTCTGAAGTAGACCAGCGAATAACATGCACTAATAGTGCTCATGCAGAGTTGCCAAAGAAAACGAGAGACACTATACATCACTTGTATTAGAATCATTGTGTGTACATTGTTGGTTTTAAAGTATTAAATGGTTCTTGTTTACAAATTGCCCTGCTTAGGCCAAACACACCTTTACAAATAGATTTTACAATGAAGGAAAATTGCATCCAAGCATAAAAAAAAAGCATTTTGTGACCTTCACAGACCTTCCCTGAATCCAGCAAACTGCTGATCCGACACTGATCCACACACCTTGCTGGGCGTCTCAGGAGGGGACAGCTCACCACAGGACAGATGTTTTTGTTCCTGTCCTTAATTGATGAATCTATTTTGTTGTGACTGGTTAGTGCAATGTACGTTTAGTGAAATAGGTGTGTTTGAATTAACCTTTCAGGTATAAAGTCTGCAGAAAGGGATTAATACCAGTCCAGGATCTGACGCCGTGTTTGATTCCACCTTCCTCTCACTCTACAGGTAATTGCCTGATTTTTTTTAATCACTTGCCCCTTTCACTGCCTTCTGTTGGTTAACGTAGATATGGATTTACACACAGAGGGGCCTGTGCACGGTTTTGCATCTTAATTTCTGGAAGGAATAATACATTCAGTAATGGCTTTTCATTTAACATCCATATTTGTAATCTGGAGTGTTTTGTAGGTACTACAATACTGGTGTTATTCATACCTTTCCAGGTAATGAATAAGATCATGTTATAACTTTCAGCTGTAGGCTGAATTATGCTGAGTTATCAGTGAAGATATTATCTGGTGATTGCTGTATCTGGCGCTGTGTATATTTCTCTTCCATCAGTTCATCTAGATTATTATTATTATTAATATTTATTGACTTTGCTCTCCAGTTATAAAATGTTTAATTTGATGCAAGATAGAGTGGTCTTCACATGTGTGAATGTGCCTTGCCCCTCAGATCTTTGCCAGGATGCCATCTCAGCTGGAGGGTGCCATGGATAGTCTGATCAATGTTTTCCACAATTACTCGGGCAAAGAGGGGGACAAGTACAAACTCAACAAAGGTGAACTCAAAGACCTCCTCAACAGTGAGCTCGACCATTTCCTTCAGGTAAGAGCAACAGGCTCGGGGATTGGACGGGGGGAAATTTGCACAATGGAGTTTTTTCTTTGGTTGTTTTATCCTTTTTTTCAGTTTCTCTTTCTATATATTTTACACGCAGAATGTCACGATGTAAGGTCATCTGTGTTTACTGGGTGTTCCACGCTCCGCTTTAGAACTGGAACCCAAGACACAGGCTTTTTGTAAGGTCTCCGCAGATGGGCTGCATTGGGTCAGCTTTTCTTGTTTGATCGTGACATGCAGTTCCAAGTCAAGCATGAGCTCTTCTGTCATCGAGACTCACAAGCACCACTTTGATTCACCTTGCTGTATCTAGCCTGCAGAGAGATTTCCATCTCCTGCCTTGCTTTGAAATGAGACTACATCACTGAGGATTCGTTATTGTACTTCTTTACATGTGAGCATAGTTTCCTTTATGCTTTTATGCTTCTACAGCCTCCAGTTTTATGCTAGAAATTATAGTTTTATTATGTTATACTGTAATGTAGCCTGTTTTTTTTTTAAAATGTTGAGTGGATTTCATTACATCTTTTAAGGCAAAACCATAAGCAATAGTAGAATATCAATCCTGGCATTTGATATAGAGCTTGGATACTTCAAAACATCTCAAAACTCTTCACAAGGAATTGCTGCCTGCAAAATACACAGGGGTCCAAAAAACATAAAACATCAGTGCGTTTAAACACTTTGTCAGCACTTATATGGAACTTCTGACCTCGGCTGCATGGGGTGGTAAGCATCTGGAGCCATTCATGGGGCACTCCTGTCTACCAATCCGGCCCTGGTCCTGGCTAAAAGTTCTTTGCCTATTCTTAAAATGTACATGGAACAGGCTTGTTCAGAATTTTGGGCCTCAGATCTGTTTTCTTACTTACTGGTGTCATTCAATGATATAACTATTAGATGTTCATATTAGTTGTCAAGAAATAGGAGATACTAGGGGAGGAATTCACCTGGGAAAAAATGGTTTCATTATTTATATCACATTCCAGAGCGTGCAGAATTTGACAGATCGTTGAATCTAGTCTTATCTTTGAAGCTGGTTTTCTGTAAGTTCTTTTAAGATGGTGTTTTAGAAATTGCCAAATTCTCTGAAATGTTCTGAAAATGTTAAATGTAGATCCAGATGGAATTTATTGCCCACTGTTTTTAATTCATGCTTTCTCTTTAGTTAAGTTTGATTCCAGAGTGTAACATTAGCCTCTGTGTGATATCACACTAATTACCTTTGAAATACCAAGAAAGCCTATAGGCGTTCAGAATAAATAAGGCGAGTGAAGCATTGATAAATGACTGCAGGCAAGTAGTTTTACAGTACATAAATATTAACTGCGGTTTTCATGCTGTGGTTTTAGGTGAACTGACAGGGTGTGTCAGTTAAACCAAGGGTGTGTAGGAATAGTGTTGGAGATTATCCATCTAAAACCGCATAGCTTGCCATTGAAAGAACTGTTTAGCAAGGTTTCTGCTGCTTGTCCAGCTAGGACAACCTTACCCATTTGAACTTGCAGACTAAACAGGAGTGAGTTAGAAGAATCCCTGCTCCTAATGACTGGTCTGTCCCTCCAAATCCTGCCAATGATCCTGGCTGGCTAGTCTATCATGAGCAGTGCCCTGGAGTACTGCAGACCCACCAGGTTCAGGGATCAGACTACTGAGACTGCAGCAGAGGGTTGACTCTATTCCGATATTCCGTTGCCAAGCATGTCACCTTGGAGCTAATTCAGCTCTTAGCTAGAAAAGTAGCAAGAAGTTTGCAACAACAATAACAATTTACATTTATAGAGTGCCTTTCATGTTGGTAGGATGCCAGTGCTTGTACTTATAAACTGTTTGGTTTTAGTTGGTTCAATTCCAGCGCTACACACTTTAGATATTCTATATATCTTAGCTTGAATCATCCTTTCCTGTGTTGTATGTGCCATAGATCAGAGGTGGTGGTCCACTCTAAGGGAGGCAGTTTCTGTTCCAATATCAACTAATGTCACTAATTAAGGAATATTGATCACCTACTTCAGTTAGCAGTTGATTATTCTTCAGCAATCACAGAAACTGCTTTTGTCCAAAGAAATCTGACGGAAAAAAATCTTGACTTTGATTATGTGGAGTCCTGTAGCTCAGTAGTTAGGGCACTCACTTTGCAAGCGAGAGACCTGAGTTCAATCCCAGGCAGGTCAGGGCGAAACCTTGGGCAAGTTTCCTTACTCCACACGCCTAATAATAATCCCTCCAAAACCAAAAACAATAATAAATTGGTCATTTTCAATCTATGACTGTTTGTGGGACATTGCTGTGCGCAATTGGCTGCCGCGTTCGCCCACAAATATACAGTCAATTCACTTTACAGTGTGTTCTGTGAAGCGCTTTGGGATGTCCTCCCGACGTGAAAAGCGCTATATCAAATGCAAGGATTATTATTATTATTATTATCTGATATCAATACTAATATGTGCCCCTCAGCAGGCAAAGTTGACCTCTAATGTGCAATAATGCTCAAATCCAACTATGTACATTTGTCAATACAGTTCATTGCTTTTTCTATTCCCATTGCTCTTAGCTGTCATTTAGGTCAAGCCACTAAGTAATCAAATGCATCATTGTATGTGTCCCCAATGAGGATTATCTCTGGACAAGAATTCCTGTCTTAACTGCTATGTAAATCAGGTAGCAGCTGAAATCCATTTTAGGCCATCAGTGTCTGAATTTGACAGCATTTTGTATTTTGCTGATAGCTGCATTTTTTGTTTGTGAATGTTAAGCTAATCGCGATGACGAATACTTGTGCAGGGAAATGCCACACTTCTATTTTGGACACTTTCCATGTATTAAAAAGAGATGTGTTGGGTGGCAGCCCAGATGATGTTGTGAATAGAGCAACAAATCAGGAGTTTGCTGGTTCAAATCCTGGTTCAAATTTGCTGGTTCAAATCCTGGTTCGTGCAGAGTTTGCCAAGCCTGCATGAGGAGACTAAATAAGCCTCAGTATTCCAAGGGATAGGGAAGGAAATACTAGCCAGATTGTTGCTCCCGATCCCGCTAAAAAGCATCCTGTACTGGTTGTGCACATGTGTGGTGAACAGATGGGGAGAGCATCTTAACAACCTGCCCGCTCCCTCTGCTCAGTGGGCGCCGGCCTGCTTCACGTTGCCGGGTGGGCCTCTTGCCAGTCTGCATCCACTGGAACTCCATCCCGTAGTCCCTCTGCCTCAACCCCTTCCTTGCCTCCTTCAAGACCCATCTCAAAACTCTCTTCTTTGACCGTGTTTACAATCACCCTCATTCCCCCACTGCCCTACATCCTCCCCAATCCCAGCCCCCAGCTCGGGTCCGAAACACTGACTATCCAGCGTCTTGGGACGTCCTCCCGACGTGAAAGGTGCTATACAAATATAATTTTGTTGTTATTGTTTGTCTGTGATGCCTTCTGTGGTTAAGTGTCCTGCCCCGCGTCCTCATATAACAATGACCATTTGGGCAGGGAACAGGGGCAACCAGCACCAGCACCCCAGCAAGAGAAAGTCAGATCAGAAGTAAACACATTTTCCAGTGATTCATTGATCTCTTACTAAGTGTCAATTTAATAATAATAATCCTTGCATTTGATATAGCGCCTTATCACGTTTTTGAGATGTTTCAAAGCACTTCACAGAATATACGGTAAAGTGAATTAACTGAATATTGTGTGATCGAAACACGGCAGCCAATTGTGCACAGCAGTGTCCCACAAACAGTCGTGAATTGAGTGACCAAATTATTATTTTTTTTAAAAAAAATTGAAGCGATTATTAAGCTGCGAAAAGCGATCGGCCAATTGACTAACAACCAGGTTCTTACTTATTGCTAGGTAAACAGAGGCGTGTGGAATAAGGAAACTTGTCTAATGTTTTGCCCTGCCCGGGAATCAAACCCAGGTTGTCTTGCTTGCGAGGCGAGCACTCTAACCAATACCCTACAGGACAACAACATTTTGTAGCTCTACAGGACACCAACATTTTGTGGCTAACTCCAGCAATTCTTGGGGATACTGGAGTCCAGATTGGGGTTGCTTTATGTGGTCTCGGGACCTCTGGAATCTTTCCCATCCACTTGTATCTCATACATTAAACTTCATTGTATTATGCCTGTAATAGGTTAACTTTCCAGCAGATAACTTTCCTTTTAGAGTTGAAGATCTAGTCAGACAATTGGATTTTCTGAATAACAAAAACTTGCATTTATATAGCTACGCTTACGTAAAATCACTTCTCAAAAGATCTTAACACATTAAGCATGAAATAAAGGAAGTTGGAAGTGATCATTGAAGAATCAGTGTTTAGGAGATTTTTGAAAGTTTTTGTGAAAGTCGGGAGAGAGGTTAGAAAGCAAATCAGTTTTGACTAATTGTTCCAGAGCATAGGAAATAGCAGTTGAAAGCTTAGCTTTTGATGATGGGATGGGGGGAGTGGGCATGAGCTATAAGTCTAAATTAGAAATATGGAGAGTAGGAATGGAACACCGAGCTTCAGAAGGATATAGGACAGATAGGAAGGACACAGGAAGATCAGTGAGGGATTTGAAATGAGAAAGAACTTGAAGCCAATCTGTTGCACGACAGAGCTGGTCAACACTGACACGCATGATGTCATGGAATTGCAGGGCTTTGTGCAGAACAGGATTTGATCCTTTACGTTCTGAATGAGTTGAAGTATTTTAAGTTGAAGAAATATGGAGGTCAGCAAGAGAAAGAGTGGAGAAATCTAACCCAGAAGTGATCAAGGTGATCAATCAACCCTTTGCATCAACTTTGTGATTAATTTGAACATTGAATACTTCTGACAGGCAGATACATAGTACTCCTGGGTTATTGTTGATAACTGTCCAGCATACCTGGCGAATCAGTAGGACTTGGAGGGGATGATATTGTCAATGGAGCAATTCCCACTTGGCTAGTGTTAACCAGGCAGTCTATTGCCCTGATGGTGATAACCAGGCAGTCTAATGCCCTGATG